GACCCCCGACGCCCCCTTGCTGCCCCCATCGTTCCCCATTGTTCTCAGCGACACTCTCCCGGGAAGGGGGGAGGGGGTGCCGCGCTCTCCTCTTAAAGGGCCCTCTCCCCCTCTTGTCTCCCGGCAGGTCGCGAGCACGAGTGGGGTGGGGCGTGCCCACGGGCCCCCGCCCCCCTCGTCCCCCTCGTCCGCCCGCCCAGCTCCGGAGCCGCAACCCAGGCGCGCCGGGGGTCCGCGCCGCACCCCTCCCCGTGCGTTCCGCGGCCACCCGGGGCCTTCCAGGACACGGTGGAGAGGGAACAAGGGGGACAAGGACGCCCCCTTCAGCAGGAGCTGCGGTGGGGCTGGGGGGGCCTGGACCCGAGGCCAGGCGAGCAGCCCCACTGAAGCCAGGCGCAGGGTCTGGGACGCCGCTGGGAGCGCAGGGGGCTGGCTGCGCTGCAGGAGCAGCAGGCTGGGCCGGGCCTCCTGGGTGACAGGCTCTGCGTGGCCAGGAAGAAGGACCGGAGACCAGCAGGGAAGAGGCTGGACCTAGAGCAGGGGCAGCTGCCTCACTCCCTTACCTGAGCCAGCCGAGGGGGCCAAGGAATTTAGAGCCCTGTTTCCTCCACCCTAAGAAAGACACTTGCTTCCCAGGGCGGCACTTTTTATCTGAGACGGCCGTCTGCTGAAGGGGTCCTCGGAGCTTGGGTCCCCATCCCGCATTCCCTTCACCCAGGCCTCTAGGCCTCAGAGAGGCCCGAAGTCAGAAAGGAGGCCAGGCAGTCCTTGCTGCCCTCCTGGGGAGAGAGGAAGTTCTGCCTGCCCCCGGGCCCAGGAGGAGCTGGGCCCTCCCCAGCGAGGCCCTGGCCCCCAAGGCAACGGCGGCCATGTCGCGGCCAGGCCAGGGTGGGATGGTGCCCGTGAACGGTCTGGGCTTCCCGCCGCAGAACGTGGCCCGAGTGGTGGTGTGGGAGTGGCTGAACGAGCACAGCCGCTGGCGGCCCTACACGGCCACCGTGTGCCACCACATTGAGAACGTGCTCAAGGAGGACGCCCGAGGCTCCGTGGTCCTGGGGCAGGTGGACGCGCAGCTGGTGCCCTACATCATCGACCTGCAGTCCATGCACCAGTTTCGCCAGGACACAGGTGAGCAGACTCCTACCCACCCACCCGCCAGGCCAGGCCAGGCTGCAGCTGCCACCACCTTTCCGGGCAGGATGCTGAACTCCCAGCATCCCTGAGGAGGGGGCCTGGCTCTGCAGGAAGGCCACATCTGCCAGGCCAGCCTCCCTTCCGCATCCCCACGCCCCCCAGAAAAAAAGGACAGTCCTGCCTAGTCCAGTTTAAGACCTGGATTCTAATGCAGCCTCTTATATTAATTGTAGGATGTTGGGCAAGTTGAAGCATCTCTCTGAGCCTCAGTTTCCTGATCTGCAAAATGGGTAGATCAATATCTCTTACCACTGTGTGAGGATTAAATAAAATTGTGCTCACTGAGCACAGAACCTGGAAGAGTATTAGCACTCAATTATTGCAGAATAAGGGTTTTACATGCACTTCCTCATTTGATTTTTTCCCAACAATCACAGGCAGTAAGTCTTATTCTTGTGTTATTATTAGTTCCATTTTACAGATAAAGGAACTGAGTCTCATGGGAGCTGAATGATTTAAACTCAGAGCTGGGACTTGAATTGAGGCAGCCGAATTCCAGAGCCAAAGCTCTTAGCTGGTGTCTGATACCGGCTCTAAGTGGTGGGGGCGGGGGCAGAGTAATGGTGGTGGTGGTCATTGCGGGGTGGAGGGTGTCGGTGGTGTTGACGGTGGGGGAGGGGTAATGGAGGAAATGAGGTTGGTGGTTGTGCTGGTGGTGGCGTCAGTGGTAGTATTGATGGCGGCGGGGTCATGGTGACAACAGAGAGGATGACGGTGGCGTGCCAGTGTTGGCGGTGGTGTTGGTGGCAGCACTGATTGTGCTATTCATTGATGGCAGCGATGCCGATGGTTGTATTGGTGGTGACGATGGAAGGAATGATGTTGGTGGCAGTCTTGGTGGCCGCGTGGTGTGGGTGGTGTCGCTCGGCGGCGTTGGTGATTGGGTCGGTACTGTGATGGTGCCGTCGATGCTTGTGTCAGGTGATGACGGTGATAAAATGGTGAGGTCCCACTCGCAGGCCCACTCTCTTGTGTTCTGGGGATCTGCGTTATTGTGGAGCCATCTCCCTGAGTCATGGCCCAGGGGTCTCAGGGACAGGCTTGCTGGGCGTTGGGGAGTGATCAGGTCCTGCCTCATGGATGCCGCCAAAGAATCCAGGCCAAGTTTGACCCCCACGGACCAGCTGGTGCAGTTTGGGGAAGTTCCCCTGACTCTCTGGGTGACAGAACTGCACGTAACACCCCTGGGGACAGTAGGATGCTTTCCTTCTCTCTAGAGCTGTGTCATCCAATAGCGTAGCCACTAACTGCATGTGACTATTTAAATTTGCATCAATTAAAATTAAGTAAGATTTAAAATCCAGTTCTTCAGTCGCACTAGCCACACTTCAAGTGCTCACTAGCCACACGTGTCTCGTGGTACTTTGCAGGACAGCGTAGATCCAATTGCATCATCGAAGCAAGTTCTGTAGACTGTGCCATTCTAGAACGTTGCGTGGTACCTACACAGCGCTCACCAAGTCTTGAAACACAGGTGAACTCATAACAAATGGCTTATTGATGTTACGTCTTAGTACATCTGCGTCTCCATGACTCTAGGCATTGCCCACAGTCACCAGCGGTGCCAGTCGTCCATGCATTCTGTCATATGCTTGCCTGATCCGTTGTGTGTCAGATTCTGCGCTAAGCACTAGAGTACAGCAAGGAGTGGGGTCCTTGGTACAGGTCTGCACTGAAGGTCCTGGTGTGTCAGGGAGCAAGACAACACGGAGTCGCATGGACCATCATTGCTGGGCTGAGAGCCTGGAACTCAGGGGAGGCTGGCCTGAGGACGTGATGTTTGACCAGAGCTAAAGGAGTGAGGGGGCCAGTGTCCCAGGCAGAGGGAACAGCCAGTGCAAAGGTCCCGGGGTGGGAAGGAGCAGAGTGCATTCAAGTCCATTGCGTTTAGAGTGCAGTGAACTCTAAAGATGGTGCGAGATAAGACTGAGCAAGGACCAGAGGTTCCTGCCTGGACAGCCATGAGAAGGACTTCGAGTTTGATCCTGAGAGCAGGGTAGTCATCACCTGTGCCTCGTGCCTGTTCTCCCAGAGGGGCCCTGAGGCCCTGATGGAGAGTGCGAAGTGTTGGGCGTCACCTGCCCCATTCTCGGTTTCACCCCGGAGGTGGAGGGCAGGGGTCTGAGAGCAGAAAGGGTGGGCTTTCTCTTTGCTGTGGGGTCAGAGCTAATGCTGGGTGTGGAAATTTTCCAGGACCCTTGGTAGGGAGCTGGGGTGGTCCTTAGGAGCAGGGGCAGACCCTCCCCAGGCCACCAAGTTGGCAATTTTGCCTTTGATCTTCTTCCCCTTTGGGGGTTCCTTTTCTATTCCTGGCACCCCCGCTTGGGTTTCTGAGTCCCCAGACCCCCAAACTCCCTCCATCCCCCTTTCAACGGGCCCCTTACCCACCTAGCAACGCTTTTCTGTTTCAGCCTCACCGGGTCCCCCAGAAGTTCAGCTCCAGTCACTTCCCCACACCCCTCCCCTGAGCTGTTCACGCCACACCCGCCCCCTGTTCGCCGGAAAAGGGGAAAAACCACCCATTCCTCAACAGGCTCCTGGGAGCCTGCAAGACCCCCACCATGCCAATGAGGGAGGAAGGCCTAGAAACCTCTTAGGGGCTGGCAGGGGCCCTAGGATGCCTGGAAACCACTGAAGGGAGGGGCAAAATGCCTCCCTGCTAGACATGTTATGGTTTGCACCCCAACCGTACCCAGAAGTAAAACAATGTCAAGAAAGTACATCTCGTCCTCACTGTTAATGGTCTGGGGAAAAGCCAAGACCAGCATGGAGAAGACCTGAGTGCCAGGCAGGTGAGGTATCCTCACAGGCAGGTGTCCTCACTGCTCCAGGTCTCACTTTCCACATCTATGAAATGGGTGAGAGCAGCACATGTCTAGCAGGATTGTTGGATTAGTAAAGAGAATCGAGCCAATTTTACCCCACAAACATCAACTAATCACCCACTATGCACACAGCACGTGCCATTGTGGTTGTGAGAGAGACAGGTATGAGATCCTACATCTTATAAAGATTATGTTACGCACATAGCACACAAACTAATATAAAACTGTAAAACCCAAAACTTGTGTGTATGTGCTGAAATGAACACAAACCTCCCCCCAGATTTTCTAATTTTAAACTTCTTGATATTTTCATTGAAGCTAAACTGTAATTTGGGGGAAAGTTGCTCTGGCTTTGCTAGTACCCTAGCACAGCAGCTGGTAGGCTTTTTCTGGCAGGGTCAGATAATAACTATTTTAAGCTTTGTGGGACTTACAGCCTCTGCTGTAAGCACTCAACTCTGTCATCATCGTGTGCGAGCTGCCACAGACAATATGTAAATGAATAAATGTGGCTGTGTTCTAATCAAACTATTAATAGTTCAATTTCTGAACACAGACATTTGAATTTCATATCATTTTCACGGGTCATGAAATATTTTTTTTCTTTTTACAACCATTTAAAAATGTCAAAACCGTTCTTAGTTGCTGAGCTGCACAAAAGCAGGTGGTGGGTGAATGTGGCCTGTGGGCTGCTGTTCCCTGACCCCTGCCCTCACGTGTCCTTAACCTGCCCGTGGGGACAGACGGCGCTGGTGCCACGGAACACCCCGCGTGGTTCATATACACCTCGTGGTGTGTGCCAAGGCGCAGTTACGTGTGCATACACACACATGCAGCACCCGCCCGCTTGGACGCCGCTGGCCCACAAGCGCCCTGTCTGCGGTGGCGGAAAGCCCAGGTGTCGGGCTGAGCCCCAGAGGAGAGTCCGGGTCCTGGCCCCGCGGGGGCTGCTGTTTGTTCAGCCGGTGCACTCCCACCTCTGCCCTGCTGGGCTGCTTTCTCTGCTCGCCCTGGGGGGTGAGGCTCCCTTTGAAGCCCTCTGGGCCTGAAGCCCCCACGCGGAGGCTGAATGCTGTGACCAGGGACCAGATGATGTCCGCTAGATCATGAGATGGCTGGCAGTGGGGTCCCAGGCAGAGGGCTGCAGGGCGGAGGCAGACGTAGGCCAGGGGCGGCGGCTTGCTTGCTGGCGGAGTGCTCTTCCCGCGGGGCCAAGTGCTCGGTTTCCCCCAGAGCTTTCTTGGTCTTCCTCTGTCTGCAGCCGTCCCTTCCACGGACAAACCCAGAGGAGAAAACCTGGGCTGACAGTTCCGCCCACACGGGCCCAGCAGCCATCAGGGTCTTGGGGCGAGGGGTTGGCTGTGACCAGCAGTGGGGCAAAGGTTTGGGAACGGCTTTGTGCCCCCGATGAGGGGGACACACCTTCCGTGGGGGTCACTGGCATCCCCTGCCATTGGGGTAGTGGCCTCTGAGGGCCACACCCAGACCCTGGATTTTCTCTCTGGTCCCCACAGCTGGACAGAGGTGTGACTCACGCACTTCCCCGGCAAACCCCAGATGCTCGCTGGCCTCGTGCGGCCGGGAGCAGGCAAGGGGCCCTGTCTGACTGGTGTCTCCCATGTTCCTCTCCACCTGCCGCCAGAGGGACTTTTGGTGGCCTTCTGCCCATTCTGTAGATGGGACAGCTGAGGCTGAGAGAGGCCAGACTGGGGACCATCCACAAATGCTGTGCCCGAGGCTCCAGGCATGGCTGTGTCTGGCGCTCCCGAGCTGTCGGGCTGGGTGACAGGTGGCGGCTGGTTTCAGGGTTTCCCAGGCCAACATCCTTCCTTGGAGAGCTGTGGCTTCACTCAGCCCTGGTCCCTTCCTTTAGGGGAAGGCCCTATCCGAGGACACTTGGGCTGTTGGAGACCAAGTAGGGCCACCCAGAGGGGAGGAGCAGCCTCTAGAATTTAGGGAAAGCACCTCTAGCAGTTAGACTCCGGATGGGGACACTGAAGCCCGGTGAGGGTGAGTGACTTGCCCAAGGCCACACCGCCCATCACTCCCGAGCTAGAACCTAGGCCTCCCACGCAGGCCTCAAGGATAGAGAGCAAGGTGACATTCGTT